AAAACATCAGGTAAAACACAAGGGCTTCAAAGATTTAAAATGCGCCCATTGTGATTATGTAACATACTCAAGTTGCAATTTGAAAAGACACCTGCAAAAACATGGTTCAAAGAATTTCAAATGTACCCAGTGTGACTATGAAACCAATGTTAAACATATTTTTGCAGCACATCGGTTGATACACAAACTTTCCAAAGATTTGAAATGTGGCCATTGTGAATATGAAACAAATAGTAAAGCCTATTTGAGAACACATTTATTAGAACACAAGGCTTTCAAGGAATTTAAATGTGGACAGTGTGATTACGCCACTAATAACAAAGCTGTGTTTAAAGTACACCAATTATCACATAACGCTTCAAAGGATTTCAAATGTGCGCAATGTGAGTATGCAACCCATACACAAGCCCTTTTAAAACTACATATGCTAATACACAAACCTTCCAAGAAGTTAAAATGTGCCCAGTGTGACTATGAAACCAAAAAGAAAGACCATTTAAAAATACATATCTTAAGACACACGGGTTACAAACATTTAAAATGTTCTCAGTGTAACTATACAACTGATACAAACAGCTGTTTGAAAAGCCACCTACTAAAACACAATGACGTAAAGGACCTGAAATGTGACCAGTGTGATTATGCAACCAACAATAAATATTATTTTAAAAATCATACGTTAACACACCAGACTTCCAAAAAATGTAAGTGCACTCTGTGTGATTATACAACTAACTTTAATTCCCGTCTGAAAAGACACCTGTTAACGCACAAGAATTTCAAATGTGCGCAATGCAATTACGAAACGAATAACAAATCCCATTTAAAAACCCATCTTTTACAACACAAAGATTCCAAATATGTGAAATGTATTCACTGTTGCTACTCGACCAATAAAAAACCCAGTTTGGAAAAACACATGTTAAACCATTCGGATCTGAAATGTGTCCAGTGCGATTATACAACTAAGAATAAATATAGTTTTAAAAAGCACGAGTTAATACACAGGGCTTCCAAGGCTTTTAAATGCGCTCTGTGTGATTATGCGTCAACCAATAAAGTCAATCTGCAGAGACACCTGTTGACACACAAGCAATGCAACGAATAATAAACTTACTTAATTTTAAAACATAGGTTATGTGTGTGATTAATCTAATTAGTAAAGTAGAATTTTTGTGTGTACGCCTTCGAATATTTAAGAATTTGTAATCTGTTTAGTGTCATTATTCAATCATTTGTAAGTTACCTGTTAAATCAATGATGGACGATGCCGGAACAAAGTCATGCCCATTTTGATGCTCTTTTGGTACATGCAATTTATCATTTTACAATTTGTTTTATCTAAATTGAACCGTAGATGTTTTGTGTGTTTATTTTGTTTCCCATTTGTAATTATGATGTCATTTGTATTGTATCTCGATTGATTAATTTGATTAGCCACATTTGACTCGATTACTTGATTTGTGAGATATGTTTGATTTCCGTACGTCTGTTTGTACTTTGTTGCTGTGGCTGATTTGTTTCGTGTTATACCAGGTTTTTTCATGTTGGTTCTTTTTTTCCCTGGCTTTTCGATTTGGATTTGCTCCGCGGAACCAAGTTTCGTGCGTAATAAATTTCTTTTTCTTATTCCCTTCGGATGCACAAAAATTCTGTGTTTTACTCAATTCCCTTACCGATTGTGTCTCACGTTCCAACACATAAAAGACCGCCATAGTAAAAGAACGTAGGAGTCACATTCGTACCACGCCGTCTCAGCCGAATGCTATTTGAAAGTGGCGCGATACATTTTTACAACGAAAGTTAGATGGAGATATATATATATATATATATAAATTAGGCAACAGACCTTTACATCTGAAAAAAAAATATGATATGCTTTGTATAAACCAATCGACCGTTTTGCGCAGATGCCGAATACCATTGAATTTCTTGTCACAATTTGATATTATTTACATTTTGCTGATTTTGCATAAACTACGATATCTGCCTTTGTTTTGAGTACCGTTAGTTGAATCGTGTTTGTTATACTGTACAGGTGATTATGCCATTGGCCCGTATGAATAAAAGTAAGCAAATGCTTATACTTGCAAAATTCAAAGTAAATACTCCTTCGCACTGGGCGACTTAGCAGCGCTTCTAAGCAGAAGGACAGGACGCAGTGCAGCGCTGCTAAACCATGCTAAACAGACCAGTATGAAGGGGCAGTTACGAGTATTTACTCTGAATTTTGGAAGTATAAGCATTTGCTTACTTTTATTCATACGGACCATTGTTTTGTTTAATTAATTATTTATTTCTGTATTCACGAGGAGTTGATTATCAGTGCGATGTTGCTCTGCCCGATTGATTCGCAACTATTCCGTGAGGGAAGTACCTAATACAGTTCGATCTTTCGCTGTATCTGTTGCCTACTCGTCTCGGGCGGATTGCAGTTCTTAGCATCTTAGCAATGCGAGCAGGGGCCCTCTCATTAACATTTCCACTATTTAAAATATGTTCTGCTTGAGCGATAATCGATTTTCACATGAATACTTCCTATGGGCTATTGGCATTCTCACATGCACTTTTCATGTTAAATTAAATTATGTTAACGGAAGGCTGGAGTAGAGCCACACCATTTACATGCTTCCTATGTACGTGCAATTTATTTATTTTTGTGTTAGCTCAATTGATCGTACAGATATTTTGATGTGTTTTTGTACTGAATTGATTTATCAGGTTTTCCATTGTATTTATGATGTCTTGTGTATTTTGTTTTTATGAACTTGTTTAATTGCATTTGATTTGATTATCTGATTTTTATCATACAATTTGAGGTGTTTTATTTATGTGTATTTTCTCTTGCATTTTATTGCTGTAGGTGATTTATTTCATGTATTTGTGTGGCCTATGCCGGGGTTTTTGTCACGTAGAAGGTTTCCCTGGCATGGTCTTGTTGTGTGCGTAATATATTTATTTGTTCTTGTCATTTCTTACGCACAAAAGTTCTGTCTTGTATTTAATTCCCTTCCCGATTATGTCTCACGTCCCAACACATATAAGAACCGATTACACAACGTAGGAGCTCATTCGGACCATCCATATCGAGCCTTAAGCTGGTTTTACATCAACAATAGTGTAGTGTACTTAACCCCAGGTTACTTACTTCACACTACAAGAACAGGGAAATAAAGTCAACCCGGAAACGTTTAAAAATGGCCACCCGAATGACTATTCCCTACAAAACTAAACAAGATCCCACTTAAATTTGTAATGATCTTAGGCTCCTACTATCTTGGCGGGCTAACACCAACTTCAAGTCACACTGGAATATTTGACCATGCTCTGTAGTAGCGGGAATGCCCAACTAACATGGCCGCCTATTTGAATATTCTCGCTTACATTTCCCGCGAGAATCTGTCACTCGGGGACCACTCCGAGTGTACTAAGATCGTGATCGTCATGTAGGACACCTACGTTGTGTAATAACTGGGTTCTCAGCAGGCACTGAGGCGTTTTATGGGTAAGGAACACCAAAAGCAATAGCTGATTAAGATGCAAGATGCCAAAAGTAACCCTTGTTCGTGCATTCTAGGTGGCGCAGGCAGCTTTTCCCCACCTAGAAATGGCATCGTTGCAAACTCGCAAAAATGTATGTATCGTCGTAAGTTGTATATACAGGGTGGAACCTCCCAAAAGGTAACGACACGTTTTAATGTAGAGCGATGGAAAGAAAATTGTAATGTTCCTAGGTGTCCTCAGGCGGTACTGGAAATATTGACTTACCCTGTACTTACAGTTGGCAACTCTGGGGAAACAAATTGCAGACAGCGCCATCTAACTTTAGCTGTCAAAATGTCGGATGTTCGCGCCATTTTTAGATCTCGGTAACATTCGGCTTGGACGAAATTGTACGAATGGACTCCTACGTTGTCATTTTTCTATGGCGGTCTTTTTATGCGTTTGAACGTGAGACACAATCGGGAAGGGAATTAAATAAAAGAGAGTATTTTTGTGCGTCCGAAAGGGAATGAGAAAATGAAATTTATTACGCACGGGGCTTGGTTCAGCAGAGCAGATCCAAACCGAAAAGCCAGGAAAAAAGAACCAGCAATAAAAAAAAACCTGGCATAACAGAAATACAAGAAATAAATCAATTACAGGTAACAATGTACAAACAGAAATACCAAAATCAAACATCTCAAATCGTACAATAAAAATCAAATAATAGAGGCAAATGTGGCTAGAACAAATTAATCAAAAACGATAGATACACATGAAATAATTACAAATTGTGAACAAAATAAATCATTGAGGTATACAACACTACCTAAAAAAAACACATCAAGGGTTCAATTTAATGCCAACACAGGTATTCAAGCGGAAGCAGACCACACCACATCCAAAATCCACATTTTAAACAGAAGAGAAATTAATCAGAGGGCCCCCCTTTCTCGCAATGCGAGACGCTAAGAACTGCAGCCTGCGCGAGATGAAAAACATATACAGCGACAGGGCAAACTGCATGTGGTTCTTCTCTTCCACGGAAATAAATTATTAATCCAAACATTCAGGGCAGTAACATTCTGGCAATCCACTCCCGCGTAAACACAGTCAAATAATCATGGAAAACATTGCGGCATAATCAGGTGCACAAGGGAGCCAAGCTAAAACATGACTCATTTAACGGTAAACTCAAACAATAGTCGCCCACGCCATGCCTGCAATCAGCAGAGGTCAAATCAAAAAAAAATCAACACGAAACCAAATAAGGCATGAAATTTAAAATAGCTTAAATAAAACGAGTACTACCTTGATATCGCTTGGAAAAAATATCAGACACTAAACTATGAAAAGCACACAAAACCGGTACGCCACCATCAAAAACTGGACCACCAGTGCCCCCGCCGACGCCACTCTCTAGCTTCCTGTACTAAATTGACGTGTTGCCCTATCGGTAGAGGTTCAACATCACAAAATAAAGCACAGTTCTTTATTTTATCACCAACCATACAACAGGGAGAAGTTTTATTTTTAAACAGATATCTTTTCAATAGCAACTACTGTTTGTTGCATAATCACAATCAGAACATTTAACATCTGTAGTTGTCTTACTTATATGAGTTAATAGAAATGATTTAAAAACAAATTTATAGTTGTACAATCACACTAGGCACATTTGATATCCTTGGTTGCCTGGTGGATTAATAGATGTCTTTTAAAATGGGATTTATTATTTGTTTCATAATCACACTGGGCACACTTAAGTTCCTTGGAAAGTTTATGTGAAAGCAAATGTATTTTTAAACAGGACTTACTGGTAGTTTCGTAATCACAATGTTCACATTTGATATCCTTGGTTGTCTGATGGGTTAATAGATGTCGTTTAAAATGGGATTTATTATTTGTTTCATAATCACACTTTGCACATTTAAAATCCTTCGAAGGTTTATGTTTAAGCAAGTGTGTTTTAAAATTGGAAATAAAATTGGTTGCATAATCACACTGGGCACATTTGAAATCCTTGTAAAGTTTGTGTGAAAGTAGATGTGTTCTTAAATATGACTTATTAGTCGTTGTATAATCACAATGATCACATTTTATATCCTTGGTTATCTTGTGGGTTAATAGATGTGCTTTAAAACTAGAATTGTACTTGGTTGCATAATCGCACTGGACACATTTTAAATCCTTGAAAAGTTTATGTGAAAGCAGATGCATTTTTAAAGAGGATTTATTTGTGGTTTCGTAATCACAATGTTCACATTTAATATCCTTCGTTGCCTTGTGGGTTAATAGATGTCTTTGGAAATGGGATTTATTATTTGTTTCATAATCACACTGGGCACATTTAAAATCCTTGGAAAGTTTATGTGTAAGCAGATGCGTTTTCAAATTGGAAAAAAGATTGGTTGCATAATCACACTGGACACAATTGAAATCCTTGGAAAGTTTATGTGAAAGTAGATGTTGTCTTAAATAGGACTTATTAGTGGTTGCGTAATCACAATTATAACATTTGAAATCTTTGGCCGTCTTGTGGGTTAATAGATGTCGATTAAGGCGGGATTTATCATTGGTTGCGAAATCACACTGGCCACATTTAAGATCCTTGGAAGGTTTATGTAACAGCAGATGTTTTTTAAAATTGGAATTAATGTTGGTTGCATAATCACACTGGACACATTTAAAATCCTGGGACAGTCTATGTGAAAGCAGATGTATTTTTAAACAGTGTGGATTAGTGGTTGCGTAATCACAATGATCACATTTGATATCCTTGGTTGTCTTGTGAGTTAATAGATGTTGTTTAAAATGGGATTTATTATTAGTTGCATAATCACATTGGACACATTTGATATCTTTGGAAAGTTTATGTGACAGTAGATGTGTTTTTAAATAGGCCTTAGTAGTGGTTGCATAATCACAATGGTCGCATTGGATGTCTTTGGTTGTCTTGTGGGTTAATAGATGTGTTTTAAAACTAGAATTCAAATTAGTTGCATAATCGCACTGTACACATTTGAAATCCTTAGAAAGTCTATGCGAAAGCAGATGCATTTTTAAACAGCGCTTATTAGCAGTTGCGTAATCACAATAATCACATTTGATATCTTTTGTTGTCTTATGGGTTAATAGATGTCCCTTAAAATTAGATTTATTATTGGTTGCGTAGTCACAGTAGTCACATTTAAGTCCCTTGAATATCTTGTGGGTCAATAGATGTGGTTTAAGAAGGGATTTATTATTTGTTGTGTAATCACACTGATTACATTTAAAATCTTTAACAGCCGTATGGGTTAGTAGATGTACTCTTAAATTGCGTTTATATTTTGTTGTGTGATTACACAGAGTACAATTAAAAGTAATTGGCGATCGGTTAACACATTCATTTCCCTGCTTGACATCATTTGCGTCTTGAAAAGTGCCTGTGAGATCCCCCTTGATTGTAATATCATTAGGTTCTTGCTTTATTATACCAGACACATCATCATTAAGTAAAACATTCTCATCAATGGAGGTATTTATGTTGTCTTCTTGTTTAATTTCCACTTTCACAATTCCCGACATTATCACTAACACTAAAAATAGTGGTCGTTTTGCAACTGTAACCACAAATGATAGCACTCATCAACCCAATCAGATGACTGGTGCGATCTCATGGAAAGAACGCCGCCATATTTTATAGACACGTTTCAGACCCGGCACGGCCCTATGAGAAAAGCAGGACTGTACTTCATATTTTTGTTATTGAGAATTGACATGGACTCCATTCTAAAATACTTTTTAACTTAACTCCGTACCATTCACAGGCAAGACAAGACAAGAACCGCTAAATATATATAACGCACACAATAGCTGTGAAACCTTCTACGGGACAAAAACCCCGGCATAGCCGCCAGAGAATATCAAATTGCATATTAGAATTGACATTGGCGCGCGTGTTACGCGATGGGTGTTCCTCCTGAATTGTAACCGCAAGTATAACAAAACGTTTGGAAATTAACGATCTTATAAATTGCTCCAATATATCTGATTTTACTACCTGCTACGAAGAATACAACTGCCGTTGTTGTAGTTTTCTTGAATTTAACATTGCATTTCTGCTTTTGGTTTGGTTGGTTAATCCAAATTGATTTATTGATTCTTATTGAGTATTCATTACGGTTTAGTATACCAGTAGGTGACGTTAGTATTGCTTACGCAATATTTTATCTGCCGCGCTATTCACTACCCCTCTTGTTGTTGTCATCTGTTACAGATTGGCAGAAATGTACTGATAAAATTGTAAATAAATATCTGTTTACTGTGATATTAATATTCCATTACATGGAAGGATGTAATATAAAGAATTTCACAATAGAATTACTGGATAATTTTTACAATACGGAATTCAATGCTTCCCTACATAAGACAGCAAATAAGTCCTCTGAATCATAAAGGCGATACAAATTGGTTACCTAAACACACACTATTTTGTATTTTCTGCGTCACTCACCACATTTAAAATAATTGGGTTGTGCTTCAACATATGTCTTTTTAAATGGGACTTATTATTGGTTGCGTAATCACACTGAACACATTTGAAATCCTTGGACAGTTTATGTGAAAGCAGATGTCGTTTTAAAAGGGACTTAGAAGTGGTTGCGTAATCACAATGTTCACATTTGATATCCTTGGTTGTCTTGTGGGTTAATAGATGTCGCTCCAGACGGAATTTAAAATTGGTTGCGTAATTACACTTGGTACATTTAAAATCCTTGGAAAGTTTGTGTAAAAGCAAGTGCTTTTTAAAATTAGAATTATGATTGGTTGCATAATGACACTGGGCACATTTGAAATCGTTGAATGGTTTATGTGAAAGTAGATGTCTTTTAAAAAGGGACTTACAATTTGTTCCGTAATCACAATGTTCACATTCGATATCCTTGGTTGTCTTGTGGGTTAATAGATGTCCCTTAAAATGGGATTTATTATTGGTTGCATAGTCACACTGGACACATTTGAAATCCTTGGAAAGCTTATGCGAGGGTAGATGCATTTTTAAACAGGACTTATAAGTGGTCGCGTAATCACAGTGATAACATTTGATATCCTTGGAAGTCTTGTGGGTTAATAGATGTGTTCTAAGATTTGAATTACGGTGGGTTGCAAAATCGCACTGGACACATTTGAATTCCTTGGAAAGTTTATGTGAAAGCATATGCGATGTTAAACGGGATTTATGAGTAGTTGCGAAATCACAATGATTACATTCGATATCCTTGGTTGTCTTATGGGTTAATTGATGATATTTAAAAGCGGGTTTCTTATTAGTTGCGTAATCACAGTGGCCACATATAAAAACCGAACTTGCATTATGGGTTAAAAGATGCGATTTAAAAAGAGATTTATAATTTGTTGCATAATCACACTGGGCACAATTAAAATCCTTGAAAGATTTATGTAACAGTAGATGTGATTTATAATTAGAATTATTATTCGTTGCGTAATCGCACTGGACACATTTGATATCCTTGGAAAGTTTATGTGTCAGCAGATGTCGTTTTAAACACGACTTATTAGTGGTCGCATAATCACAATGATCACATTTGATATCCTTCATTGTCTTGTGGGTAAATAAATGATATTTAAGAGCCAGTGTGTTATTGGTTGCGTAATCACAGTGGGCACATTTAAAATACTTGAAACTATTGTGGAGCAACACTTATTTGTTGCATAATCACATTGATTACACGTAAAATCTTTAACAGCCTTGTGGGTTAGCAGATGTCTTCTTAAATTGCGTATATATTTTGTTGTGTAATTACACTGAGTACAATTAAAATCTTTCGAAATTTGTGGTCGGTCAACACATGAAAAATCATTAGAATGTACAATCAAACATTCCTTTCCTTGCTCGTCTTGACAACTACTTGTGACGGAATCATCCCCCCTGATCTCGTTAGGTTCTTGTTTTATCTGCATTCCCCACACATTATTAAGTAATAGTTTCTCATCAATGGAGGTATTTATGTTGTCTTCTTGTTTAATTTCCACTTTCACAATTGCCGACATTATTACTAACACTAAAAACGTACGAGTAAAAAATAAAGCTAAAAACAGTCACCCTTGTGACGAACACGTGCGACTTCTTGGAGGAAAGAACGCCGCCATATTTTCTAGACATGTATAGCCGTATAGGCCCGGCACGACCCCATGAGTAAAGCAGGACTGTACTTCAAATTTTATGGTTGGGATAATTGTTTTTATTATTATTTATTATGTTGTATAATAGTATATTAAGATACAAGTGTATAATCAAGTTTTTAAAGCACGCGCAACGAGTTTAATGACAAGACGCGATGTCTTCTTAAATTGCGTATATATTTTGTTGTGTAATTACACTGAGTACAATTAAAATCTTTCGAAATTTGTGGTCGGTCAACACATGAAAAATCATTAGAATGTACAATCAAACATTCCTTTCCTTGCTCGTCTTGACAACTACTTGTGACGGAATCATCACCCCTGATCTCGTTAGGTTCTTGTTTTATCTGCATTCCCCACACATTATTAAGTAATAGTTTCTCATCAATGGAGGTATTTATGTTGTCTTCTTGTTTAATTTCCACTTTCACAATTGCCGACATTATTACTAACACTAAAAACGTACGAGTAAAAAATAAAGCTAAAAACAGTCACCCTTGTGACGAACACGTGCGACTTCTTGGAGGAAAGAACGCCGCCATATTTTCTAGACATGTATAGCCGTATAGGCCCGGCACGACCCCATGAGTAAAGCAGGACTGTACTTCAAATTTTATGGTTGGGATAATTGTTTTTATTATTATTTATTATGTTGTATAATAGTATATTAAGATACAAGTGTATAATCAAGTTTTTAAAGCACGCGCAACGAGTTTAATGACAAGACGCGAATATGCAACAAATTATAAATATTATAGAGATATTAAAAATTGTTTTAGAAACAAATTTATTTTGAGATGCCTCAACCGTAGCAACATCCTGTGAATATGATTGTCGATACGAAGCACCCTATACATCATGTTAGTTACACAAGCTGCCAACCGAAATCTGGTGGGATTACAGAAGAGGGAAAGAGAGCGAAGATGAGAGGGATGAAATTTCTCGGAAGACCACATGTGTTTACCATTTCAAACACCTGCAGGCCAGTTTTTTCGTAGAAATGCAGGGAATGGGCGATTTTCGGGTGTTAAGAGATCAAATTACGGTACTTGCGTTTCGGAGGATTGCTATATAAAGGTAAGAGTTCGCATAATGTTATTCGAGAAGGATTCCACATCGTAATTCAAATGCAAGCCAAAGCAAAGATTAAACGGTAAAGAAAATAACGTCAAAGACTGTTAACTTAAAATTATGTAAATGGACAGGAAAATAATACAAAAGTTTTTAAAACAACTTTTAATAGCTACTACAATAGACAATTTTACTCCCAATGAAAATCTGAACTGAAAATTGAAATTGAACCACAGCCGTATGAGATAATACTCGAAATTATAATAGTTCGATGTCAATTATAAATGGTCCTCAATAGTTTCTTAGTAATTTATAATTTGTTGAATAATCACGCCAGTCACATTTGAAATCCAGGGAGTTTATGTGAACGTAGATGTGTTCTTAAATTGGACTTATTAGTGGTTGAATAATCACAATGATCACATTTTATATCTTTGATTGTCTTGTGAGTTGATAGATGATGTTTAAGATGGTATTTATTATTGGTGGCATGATCACACTGGGGACATTTGAATTGCTTGGGAAGTTCATGCGAAAGCAGATGTGTTTTTAAACACCGCGTATTAGTGGTTGCGTAATCGCAATGATCACATTTGTAATCCTTCGTTGTCTTGGAAGTTGATAGATGTTGTTTAAGATAGTATTTATTATTGGTTGCATAATCACATTGGTCACATTTAAACTCCTTGGATCGTTTATGTGTAAGCAGATGTGTTTTAAATTTGGAATTAAGATTGGTTGCATAATCACACTGGGCACATTTGAAATCCGTGGAAACTTTATGTGAAAGCAGATGCGTTTTTAAACAAGGCGCATTAGTGGTTACGTAATCGCAATAATCACATTTGTAATCCTTCGTTGTCTTGGAAGTTGATAGATGTCGTTGAAGATGATATTTATTACTGGTTGCATAATCACACTGGACACATTTGAACTCCTTCGGAAATCTATGTAAAAGCAGGTGTAGTTTTAAACAGTACGGATTAGTGGTTGTGTAATCACAATGATCACATTTGATATCCTTAGTTGCCTTGTGGATTAATAGATGTCGTTTAAAGTGGGATTTATTATTAGTTGCATAATCGCACTCAACACATTTGAAATCCTTGGAAAGTTTATGTGAAAGCAAATGTAATTTTAAACAGGGCTTATAAGTGGTTGCGTAATCACAATGATAACATTTGATATCCTTGGAAGTCTTGTGGGTTAATAGATGTGTTCTAAGATTTGAATTACGACGGGTCGTAAAATCGCACTGGACACATTTGAAATCCTTGGAAAGTTTATGTGAAAGCAGATGTTGTTTTAAACACGACTTATTAGTGGTCGCATAATCACAATGGTCACATTTGATATCCTTAGTTGTCTTGTGGCTTAATAGATGATATTTAAGGGCGGGTTTATTATTTGTTGCGTAATCACAGTGGGAACATTTAAAATCTTTGAGTACATTGTGGATCAATACATGCCGTTTAAGAAAAGATTTATTATTTGCTGCATAATCACACTGATTACACTTAAAATCCTTAACAGCCTTATGGGTTAGCAGATGTGCTCTTAAACTGCGTTTATATTTTGTCTTGTGATTACACTGAGTACAATTAAAATCTTTAGAATGTACAGTGAATGATTTATTTTCCTGCTCGGCATCAGTTTCCTTTTTACGAGTGTGTGTGACAGAATCATCCCCGCCAATTGCAATCTCATTAGGTTCTTGCTTTATCATTCGGGGCACATCATCATTAAGTAAAACTCTCTCATCAATGGAGGTATTTATATTGTCTTCTTGTTTAATTTCCACTTTCACAATTGCAGACATTATCACATAAAACTAAAACCACAAATAATAGCACTTGAGCTTCGTAACTTATCAATCAGTAATGCCGCCATATTTTATAGATCAGACCCGGCACGGCCGTATGAGAAAAGCAGGACTGTACTTCACATTTTTGTTATTGAGAAATGGCATGGGCCTCATTCTAAGATAATTTTTTGTTTTTACCGAGAGGTTCCACCCTATATATACACTTTATGTAAGTGTACTAGGGTTCCGCCTGTGCGGGTCGGGTTCGATTCTTTGCTACGAAAAGTTTTTCTCACAAATAAATTTCGCCATTTATGCTGTTTTCTGCTTCATTTTTTTAATTAAAAAATTAGAATTGTCTTTAATTTAAGTTACAGTGAACAGCTCTAGTGTCCTTGCTGCTAGTGCAGATGCCGTAAATGCAATTACTGGAATTGTAATGTAGAGAAAGAAAAAGGAAAATCGCAACCGAAAAGCGTGGGGTCGAGTATAGGTTTGGAAGAAGGGTTGTACTGATCTTAACCCAGTCCCAGGTTCGTAGCTAACATGACAGATTTGAAAACAACAACGTTGAAATCCCAGCAGCAAAACAGTTCCCGTTTAAATTTAAAACAAAAGAATGAAACATGATCAGATCCTTACGTTACACGAAGTTAAAACAATGTCTCGTAGTTCAATCGGGAAGGAATACTCAACTAAAACTGTAATGTCTGCGAGTTCATTTATTATGAAATTATTCTCAAATTCGGGAAGCAAAGCAAGTAAAGATCAATAGTGTCGCACTCTCGCAAAAGCAGACTGCCAAGAGAAAAAGAGCACGACTAGAGAAAAACCTTGACATTGAGTGAAAGCCCAATTAAGTTAATCAAAAATTCAAAAAGCATATACACAAATCATGGCATACCCTACTTTAGAAAAGTCATATACATATACTGGGTAGCTGCAAGGGGCAGGACATCTCAAATTTGTCTGAACGACTAGAAAAATAAATATAAATGTTTCTAAAACAATTTTAATATTTATAATTTGTTGCATATGGAAAGTTTATGTGAAAGGAGATGTCTTTTTAAAAGGAACTTTTAATTTGTTGCGTAATCACAATGTTAATGTTGTCATGTGGGTTAAAAGATGCCGTTTAAGATGGGATTTATAATGGGTTTCATAATTACATCGGACACATTTGAAATCCTTGGAAAGTTTATGCGAAACCAGATGTGATTTTAAACAGGACTTTTTAGTGGTTGCGTAATTACAATGATCACATTTGATATCCTTGGTTGTCTTGTGGATTAATAGATGTTGTTTAAACCGCAATTTAACATTGGTTACGTAATCGCACTGGACACATTTCAAGTCCTTGGGAAGTTTATGTGAAAGTAAGTGTGTTTTTAAATAGGGCTTATTAGTGGTTGCGTAATCACAATAATCACATTTCATATCCTTGGTTGTCTTGTGGGTTACTAGATGTCGTTTAAGATGATAATTATTATTGGTGGCATAATCACACTGGGCACATTTAAAATCCTTGGAAGGTTTATGTACGAGCAAGTGCTTTTTCAAATAAGAATTACGGTTGGTTGCATAATCACACTGGGCGCATTTGATGTCCTTGAAAAGTTTATGTGAGAGCAGATGTCTTTTTAAATGGTACTTATTATTGGTTGCGAAATCGCAATGATAACATGTGATATCCTTGATAGTCTGGTGGGTTAAGAGATGTTGTTTCAGACGGAATTTAACATTGGTTGCGTAATCACACTGGGTACATTTAAAATCCTTAGAAGCTTTATGTGAACCGAGATGTGATATTAAACAAGACCTGTTAGTGGTTGTGTAATTACAATGATCACATTTGATATCCTTGGTTGTCTTGTGGATTAACAGATGCCGTTTAAGATGAAATTTATGATTGGTTGCATATTCACACTGGCTACATTTAAACTCCTTATGTGAAAGCAAATGTTTTTCACAGGGCTTGTTAGTGGTTCCATAATCACAATCATCACATTTGATATCGTCGGTTATCTTGTGGGTTAATAGATGATATTTAAGGGCGGGTTTATTATTGGTTGCGTAATCACAGTGGCCACATTTGAAATCCTTGAATATATTGTGGATCAATAGATGTCGTTTAAAATGGGATTTGTGGTTAGTTGCGTAACCACACTGGACACATTTAAAAATCTTGGAAAGTTTATGTGAAAGCAGATGCGTTTTTAAATTATGCTTACTAGTGGTCGCGTAATCACACTGAGCACATCTAAAATCCATAGTTGTCTTGTGAGTTAATAAATGTCTTTTAAAATCAGAGTTACTATTGGTTGCATAAACACACTGGGCACATTTCAAATACTTCAAAATGTTGTGGATTGAGAGATGTCGCTTAAGATGGTATTTGTTATTCGTTGCGTAATCGCACTGACCACATTTAAAATCTTTAACAGCGTTATGGGTTAGCAGATGTAATCTTAAACTGCCTTCACATTTTGTTGTGTGATTACACTGAGTGCAATTAAAATCTTTAGAATGTTCACTTTCTTCTTGACAAGTGCGTCTGACAGGATAATCCCCACTGATCTCATTAGGTTCTTGCTTTATTATACCGGACAAATCATCATTAAGTAAGAGTTTCTCATCAATGGAGGTATTTATGTTGTCTTCTTGTTTAATTTCCACTTTCACAATTGCCGACATTATCACACGACTTAAACAGCGGTCGTTTCGCCCACAAATGGTCGCATTTGAGCTTCGTAAACCCAATCAGATGCCACCCTGTGCCGTACGTGCAATCTCACAAAGGAAAGAACGCCGCCATATTTAATAAATATGTTTCAGATCCGGGACGGCCCTATCAGAAAGGCAGGACTGTACTTCATATTTTTGTTATAAGGAAATCGGGGGAATAGGAGTCATGAGATCCTTTGAGTGAAACTTAAAATAGTAAACGAAGTGAACTACATGAAATACACGATATAACAGTCGGTGAATGAAAGACAAATTATATGAATACATCGGTATGACGCTTCCGTTCTAAAAAACAAAACGAAAGCTACCCTGTAGAAAATAAACAAGTGGCGTCGCTGCGGTGGCTAATGTCCCTAGGTACTTAAACTACGTGACTGGTTGAATTCGACAATAAGATATAAATGGCAGTGGAAAGGACATTTCGTTCCGTACACATGATCCTGAATCCACTTAAATAATGTCAATTTCCAAATGACAATTGCGAATTACAAACAAATGGAAACATTAAATAACTCGAAATAACCACAAATGTACACCATACAATGCTCTTTCGAAGACAATTCAAATTAAGACAGCCGTAAGAAGCGTCCATTAAAAGTAATTCACATAAAGGGGCACATTCACCAACAATAATCAGTGCAAATCCACACTATACTGTATTCATTTTAAGAAGGTAGCTGTAAAAAGCATAGGGAAGCGTTGACCTTCACCGTGATTAGTGAAAACACTAGTCAGTATTACGCTGAAACATAAAACGAGTGGCGAATTTTGCAAGCTGGTAGTTTCTGTTGCCATCTGAACTGTTGAAGTGTCATTAACTGTTAATGTCAAAGATTTATTTCTGTTTGCAGTGCTGGATATTTCTACTTGACAATAATTTGGTGCCGTTTCATATTTTTCCTGTGTGTGCTTATCTTCAAACCCAGCGCCATCTACTACCTTCTTATAATGAATGCAGTATAGTTATGTGAAAACGTCTTTTTAAATTGGATTTATTCAAGGACGTTAAACGTGTATTTATTACTTGTTGAATAATTACATTGGGCACATTTTAAATCTTTAACAGACTAAATGTGGGATAAATGCAAGACATCGAGTACTCCCACAAGCACACGAACAATGATTAACAACCGGCATCTGACACATTCACACAATTGAATTACAGGCCAGTGGATGAATTTTTACACAGTGGTCTTTTCAATAGTAATTTACTGTTTTTTTTTGTTGCGTAATCACCTGTAAGCACATTTAAAATGCGAACTTGTCTTATGGGCTGTGATTTAAAAACAAATTTATAAATAATTGAATGACACTAGACACATTTAAAATCTTTGGAATGTTTATGTGAAAGCAATTCAATTTGGTTGCATAATGACAATGGACACCTGTATTAATTACAATGTGCTGCCACCAGAGATCACACTAGCAGTCTGGATCGCGAATATAACGGATAATATAAAAGGTTTTAAAACAATTTTTAACAGTTCCACCTACTAATCTACCTGGCATATTTGAAAACCTAGATAGTCTTGATTGCTAAATGTTAAAAACTATAATAGTATTATTTGTTGTGTGACCACACTCACCACATTTAAAATAGTTCGGTACAAGTTTTGTGTTTAAACAGATGTCTTTTCAATAGTAACTTATAATTCGTTGCATAATCACACTGGGTACATTTAAAATCCTTGGAAGGTTTATGTGAACGCAGATGTGTTTTCAAATTGGAAATAAAATTGGTTGCATAATGACACTGGGCACATTTGAAATCCTTGGAAAGTTTATGTGAAAGTAGATGTGTTTTTAAATACGACTTGCTAGTTGTTGCGTAATCGCAATGATCACATTTTATATCCTTGGTTGTCTTGTGGGATAATAGATGTTGTTTAAGACGGGATTTATCAATGGTTGCGTAATCACACTGCGCACATTTAAAATCCTTAGATGGTTTATGTACAAGCAGGTGTTTTTTAAAGTTAGAATTTTCATTGGTTTCATAATCACACAGAACACACTTGAAATCCTTGAAAAGTTTGTGAGAAAGCAGATGTTTTTTTAACATATACTTATTAGTGGTTGCGTAATCACAACGATCACATTTCATATCCTTGGTTGTCTTGTGGGTTAATAGATGTGTTTTCAAATTAGAATGATGATTGCTTGCGTAATCGCAGTGGACACATTTGATTTTCTTGGAAAGTTTATGTGAAAGCATATGCGATTTTAAACAGGACCTATTAGTGGTTGCGTAATCACAACGATCACATTTCATATCCTTGGTTGTCTTATGGGTTAGTAGGTGTTCTTTAAGATAGTATTTATTATTGGTGGCGTAATCACAATGATCACACTTGATATCCTTAGTTGTCTTATGGGTTAAAAGGTGTCGTTTAAGATTGGATTTATTGATGAATGCATAATTACACTCGACACATTTGAAATCCTTGGTAAGCTTATGCGTACGCAGATGTAATTTTAAATGAAACTTATTAGTGGTTCCGTAATCACAATGATCACATCTGATGTCTTTAGCCTTGTGGGTTAATTGATGTATTTTGAAATTAGAATTCCGATTGGTTGCATAATTGCACTGGCCACATTTGATATCTTTGGAAACTTTATGTAAAAGCAGATGCGTTTTTAAACAGGACTTATTAGTGGTTGCATAGTCACAATGATCACATTTGATATCCTTAGTTGCCTTATGGGTTAATAGGTGTACTTTAAGATAGGATTTATTATTGGTGGCGTAATCACAATGTTCACATTTGATATCCTTGGTCTTGTGGGTTAATAGGTGCGTTTTAAAATTAGAATTCTGATTAGTTGCATAATCGCACTGGACACATTTGAAATCCTTGGAAGGTTTATGTGAAAGTATATGTATTTTTAAACAAGACTTATTAGTGGTTATGTAATCACAATGATCACATTTAACAACTTTAACAGCCTTATGGGTTCGCAGATGTGCTCTTAAAGTGCGTTCATGTTTGGTTGTGTAATTACACTGAGTACAATTAAAACCTTTTGAAATTTGCGATCGGTTAGCACATGGGAAATCTTTATAATGTTCATTTCCCTGCTTGACAGCAACTTCGTCTTTAAAAGAGCCTGCGACATTACGATAATCCTCACTGAATGTAGCCTCAATAAGTTCTTCCTTTATCTTTCGGGACACACCATCATTAAGTAAAACTTTCTCGTCAATGGAGGTATTTATATTGTCTTCTTGTTTAATTTCCACTTTCACAATTACCGACATTATCAAATACACAACACTAAAACAGCAGCAGCAGTTGTAACCACAATTTATACCACTTGAACTTCTTCAGATCCACCCTAAACTAACGTAACGATAAATCATTTCTATGGAGTAGTCGAAACTGTGTTTACTGTACCATCAGCCTGTTTGTATTACTGGACCAGTGGCGTACCTCCATTGTTGGTACTCATAATAATGTATATGTTATCGGCAATGCATCTTAATAGATATGGGTTACAATGATCGAAAATGAATTTTTTGCAGGTAGATTTACTTCTTTTACAACCGTAAACACTTCAGTATTCCATTGGGCTCATGTGTTAGAGAGAGAACGCATGATTTTTGCCCCAAAAAGGCGGAAGTTACCAGATTCTAGTAACTTTTATGTTAGAGATTGTTCCACCTGTTTGGAGATATCTGTATATATTTTTATAAAACATGCCAGTACTATGAAGTTAGGTTATAAAAAATGACAGCTAGTCAGATTTTATTTGTCAATTTTTTAAGTTGGCAGCAAATTTGCCCAAAAATGGCGGATAATTACGGTACTTTCTATATCTAGTAACTTTAATACAAGTTAGACTACAGTGCCACCATGCTCAGAAAAGCCTCGGAAAATATGCGAACTAATTTTGAAATAATTAAGGCTTGCCAATAGAAAGTCTGCAAAACGACGCGATACATTCCGCGCCATAATTATTAATTATTCCGTTTTGACAGTTGACGCTTTACGTTATTTTAGTTTACACTTTGCTTCTTGGTATTTGCTTTATTTTACGTTTTCCGTTTCTAGTTTTATACAAACTCGTCTTTTTCAAGACGCATATAGCTTGGATCTACGATCTGATAAGGTATGTAATTCCCTTAGTGTTTTTAAATTTTGCATCAGACTGTACGGTCTAAATTTCTAGCGCCGCCCGACACGCCCTGTCAGAGACTTTCTGAGCGTGGTGCCACTGGATGCGGTACATGGACTGATAATTGCCAATAAAGTATTGTCAAGGACATCGTTTGGGCATGTGAATTTCAGTGTCGAGATGCCCCAACCTTAGCAACGTCCAGTGAATATGATTGTCGATACGTAGCACCCTATACATCACGTTAGTTACTCAAGCTGCCAACCGAAATCTGGTGGGATTACAGAAAAGGGAAAGAGAGCGAAGATGAGACGGATGGAATTTCTCGAAAGACCACATGTGTTTACCATTTCAACCACCTGCAGTCCAGTTTTTTTCCTAGAAATGCGTGAAATGCAGGGAATGGGCGATTTTCGGGTGGTTTTTAGGGGTGTTAAGAGATCAACTTAGAGAGTCGCTTGGGGCAGTCAATAAATACGATTTAACATGTGTGTTCATGGTCTTTTTCTTGTAACCCGCTTAAGTGTAAAGTACGGCTTATCTTGAAATATTTTGTTATAGCTTAATCATTGTTGTGTCCTTTTGCTTTTTATATTAGGCGAGGTATTTCCTTTATTCAATTAATCTATGTGTGTAACTTGAATGCAGATTGTAACCATTTACTTATGTACTTACTGGATTCAAACACTAGTACCTCTAATGTGTAACCTTTGTTGGTATTGGCAATCATGTTTCATTGTTGGTAAGGCTGTATCTGTGCTGTACATATTTGTGTATTGTGCTTTTTAGTCACTCTCGATTATTTCATTGCATTTCATCATATTTGCTTAATTGGGACTGTGAGTAACCAAGAGAGAAGTGTGTTTATTTAGAGGGGATCGAGTTATTCAAGTTTATACGAGCCTTGGTGAACCTAACACTAACATTTTCACTCGTTCCCAACCCAACAACTTTAGCCCACGTCTACAGGCACCCCACTGGGCCTGGGTAATCCTACCGCCCGGCGAGGTACATTTAATATCTCTTAGTTTTGTCTGATGTATGTGTTGTAATACATGGGGAATGGCTCGATTACATTTTGGTTACTCATACCGTGTATGTAGTATTTACCCCGGTTTCGAGATGGCTCAAAAGTGCTGTACATTGGAGGTTAGCTGTAGGCTAAAGGATAATGAAACTTGTTTGGATCAGTGTATTCGCTTGGTTACCCTCCTATTTCACGGTTATAGTGTTCGGGGTTGGCTTGGCATGCTTGCCTATTAACCAGTAGCGCAGTAATCAAAGGTGAAAACATGATGGGGTGTTCATGATGCTTGTGTCTTTGACGAACATTTTTGAAGACATAAAATAAAAGCTTTCAAAATAATGTTTAATATTACTACAACTCACACAATTTGAACTGAAATTTTAATACAAAACGTAAGACTCCATTTAAAGTATAAATATATAAAAATTATATAAACAAACATTATAAATAACAAAAAATAAATTTTTAAACTATTTTATTATTTGTTGCGTGAACACACTCACCACCTTTAACATAATTAGGTAGAAGTTTTGTGTTTAAACAGATGTCTTTTCAATAATAATTTATAATTCGTCGCATAATCACAATGGGAACATTTAAAATCCTTAGAACCTTTATGTGAAAGCAGATGTGTTCTCAAATTGGGCATAAGATTAGTCGCATAGTCACAGTGGGCGCATTTGAAATCCTTGGAAAGTTTATGTGAAAGCAGATGTCTTTTTAAGTAACACTTATTAGTGGTCGCGTAATCACAATGATGACATTTGATATCTTTGGTCGTCCTGTGGGTTAATAGATGTCGATTAAGACGGTATTTATCATTGGTTGCGTAATCACACTGGCCACATTTAACTTCCATGGAAGGTTTATGTGAAAGTAGATGTTTTTTTAAATTAGAATTAGTATTGGTTGCATAATCACACTGGGCACATTTAAAATCCTTAGAAGATTTATGTGAAAGCAGATGTATTTTTAAACAGCGCGTACTAGTGGTTGCGTAATTACAATGATCACATATGATATCCTTGATTGCCTTGTGAGTTGATAGATGTTGTTTAAGATGGTATTTGTTATGGGTTGCATAGTCACACTGGACACATTTAATATCCTTCACCTTGGAACGGTTATGTGAAAGTAGATGAGTGTTTAAATGGGTCTTATTAGTGGTTGCGTATTCACAATGATCACATTTGAAATCCTTGGTTGCCTTGTGAGTCAATAGATGTGTTTTAAAAGTAGAATTGTAATTAGTTGCAAAATCGCACTGATCACATTTAAAAACCTTGGAAGGTCTATGTGAAAGCAGATGTATTTTCAAACAGCGCTTATTACTGGTTGCGTAATTACACTGATCACATTTGAAATCCTTGGTTGTCTTATGGGTCAATAGATGTGTTTTAAAGGTAGAATTATAATTGGTTGCATAATTGCACTGGACGCATTTGAACTCTTTGGAAAGTCTATGTGAGAGCAGATGTATTCTTAAACAACGCGTACTATTGGTTGCGTAATCACAATGATCACATTTGATATCTTTGGTTGTCTTATGGGTTAATAAATGTCCTTTAAGATAGGATTTATTATTGGTTGCGTAGTCACAGTGGTCACATTTAAGACCCTTGAATATCTTATGGGTCAATAGATGATTTTTAAGAAGTGATTTATTATTTGTTGCGTAATCACACTGACTACATTTTAAATCTTTAACGGCCTCGTGGGTTAGCAGGTGTGCTCTTAAATTGTGTTTATATTTGCTTGTGTAATTACACAGAGTACAATTAAAATCTTTTGAACTTTGCGATTGAGTACCACATGGGAAATCCTTAGAATGTACAATGATACATTTATTTCCCTGCTCATCATTTTCATCTTGACAAGTACCTGGTGTGACAGGATCATCCCCGTTGATTGTAACCTCATTAAGTTCTCGCTTTATAATTGCGGGCACATCAGCATTAAGTAAAACTTTTTCATCAATGGCGGTATTTATATTGTCTTCTTGTTTCACTTCCACTTTCACAATTGCCGACATATCACCAACACTAAACTAAAAACCAGCGGTCGTTAACCTACCACACTGCGCATGTCTGACGCATTTTTGTATGCTTGAAAAAATTATCCACATCATTTTTTTTTATTAAAATTAATAGTAGGAGTTTCCTTACTTTTGTATTAATGGTTTATTAAAATATGGAAAAGTACATATTCGTCTATTAACTTAAAGTTAGCAGCTTCTAGTAATATATAAATACATGTTCACACCAATTCAATAGTAAGGATGCATATTCATCCTAACCCGACCAAACATTGTGGACGTATTTTACATCTTTATGAGTTTGTAAAAACGTGGCATATTTCCAAGACATCTCATCAACAAACACAATTATATACCTCTTTTGTCCGGGCCATGAAATTGGTTTAATTGGCCCAGACTTCCCACAAGCACACGAACATTAGCTTAACAACCAGCATCTGGTAGGTACATTACACATTCACATGTGTACCTACTTAAACAATAACACATCAAACCAAAAACTGTAAGTCCCATTAAAATAACAAGAGATGGGGGCGGTGGTTAATTTCCATGGATTATCAGACCACCCCGTTGATGATCTGTAGATCACAGGGCTGGTTGCACCCCACGATGAAGCATACTGTAGGTGAAAGGATCGGGACATCTCTTCCCTATCCTTAGCAAATAACTATTAAAAATTACACTATGCACATTTAATTTCAAGAATGTAATTGGTTACGCCTTGTAATCATTACACTCACCATATTTAAAATAGTTAGTTTTTGTGTTTAAACTGATGTCTTTCAAGTAGTAATTTACTATTTGTTGCATAATCACACTGAACACACTTGAACTCCTTGTTATGTGAAAGTAGATGTTTTTTTAAGCAGGGCTTATTGGTGGTTGCGTAATTACAATGATCACATTTAATATCTTTCGATGTCTTGTGGGTCAATAGATGGCGTTTAAGATGGGATTTATCATTGGTTGCATAATCACACTGGGCACATTTAAACTCCTTGAATGGTTTATGTGATAGCATGTGCGTTTTAAAATTAGATACACAATTGGTTTCATAATCACACTGGACACATTTAATATCCTTTGAAATTTTATGTGAAAGCTGATGGTTTTTTAAATACGACTTATTAGTGGTTGCGTAATCACAATGATCACATTTAATATCCTTTAATTCCTTGTGGGTTAATAGATGCCGTTTAAGATGGGATTTATCATTGGTTGCGTAATCACACTGGGTACATTTCAAATCCTTGGAAGCTTTATGTGAAAGCAGATGTGTTTTAAAATTAGACATATAATTAGTTGCATAATCACACTGGACGCATTTCATATCTTTGGAGAGTTTATGTGAAAGCAGATGGTGTTTTAAATAGCAGTTATTAGTGGTTGCATAATCACAATGATCACATTTGAAATCCTTAGTTGTCTTATGGGTTAATCGATGGCGTTTAAGATGGGATTTATCATTGGTTGCATAATCACACTGGGCACATTTGAAATCCTTGAAAAGTTTATGTGAAAGCAGATGCATTTTTAAATAGGACTTATTGGTAGTTGCGTAATCACACTGACTACACTTGATATCTTTAACAGCCTTATGGGTTAGCAGATGTGCTTTTAAATTGCGTTTATATTTCGTTGTGTGATTACACTGAGTACAATTAAACTCTTTCGAAATTTGCAATCGATTAGCATATGGGAAATCTGAATCAATTTCTTCTTTACAATAGCGTGTGACATTAGAATAATCTCCACCGATTGTGATTTCATTAGGTTCTTGCTTTATCATTCCGTACACATCATCAGGTGAAACACTCTCATCAATGAAGGTATTTATGTTGTCTTCTTGTTTAATTTCCACTTTCACAATTGCCGACATTGTCACACAAGAACACAACACTAAAACGGGGGCCGTTTTGCAATTGTAACCATAAATGATATCACTTGAGCTTCTTCGGCAAACGTATCAATCCTGATAACATCTCATGATGGAAAGGACGCCCACATTTTTGTATAATGTATTTGTCTTAAAGCATTCCACACACTGCGCATGCGTGATAAACGTCAAAGTTGCAAATTGTTTGGAAGTGTTAAGTAGTACGTCGATGAATTGGCAAAAATATATATTAATATTAAAAATACAATAAATTGTTTTCATTCATGAATAAACATATTCCTAATGTACATTTATAAGCGACGCGTAACTGAGAAGTCTATATCCCTTTAAATACCCTGTATATTTCAACGTCGTATGCAACCGGTCAAGTAGTTGGAGATTCTGGGGACATAAGCCACCGCCATCCCACCCGTCCATATTTTTTTCGTAATTTTTGGAGGAAGTTTGAGATTTAAGGGCTTGGCGTCACTTGTTGATTGTTAAAGCTTGTTGGTGGCGGGATTATTGCATTTTGAGTTGTATTCATAGAGTTTAGCTTTGTGTTTGTGCGTAGGATTCAACCACTTTCGTGTCGGGTAAAGTATTTTATGCAGTTTACTCTTATGTACTTATATGAATTGTGCCATTTGTTAAATCAGATATTTTCCAACTACCATTGTGCTAATATGTAATTTACAACATGCGACATGTACTTGTGGAAGTCTACGATATCTCAGGTTTACCACGTTTAGTTCAGTTACACGGTGCACTTGTGTGTACCCATGTAGAACCTCGACTTCCGTGAAGTAGGGCATGCAATGCTAGGTGTACTTAGGTTAGGGTGACTCGTAACATTCGCGAATGTGTGTGCCTTGTTGTATGTAACTCATATCTTTCTACCGTGAGAGGGAGCTCGGACGCTAGAATAGAAAGATATACTTTAGGGATGAAGTGCTGTAACCAAGGCCGTCCTACACATAGGCGGCGACCCATCTCTTAACCATCTTCAGTTTTGTGTCGTTACGTGACCGATGTCAGGGGAGTGTTACGAAGCACAGGTAGTAGGTCCGGAAGTCTGGGGTTTATACCAATGTCATTATGTTAAAACTGAGCATAATCGGGGCCTCACGAGCACACTGTGTATTGTCATAACTGCCTATTGTTACGTCACAACATGAATAATAGATCAGAACTGTTTTTACAAACTTCACACCTCTCCATTCGGTATATATGAATAACTAGCAAGGTCAATAAATGCAAGAATGTGTTGCCCCTAACAATCTTAACTGCGCTACGGGTTAATAGGCAAATATGTCAGCCCATTTCCTAACAATATAACCGTGAAACAGGAGGGCAATCAAGCGAAGACGCTGGCCAAAACCTAACGAATAAACAGGTTCACCACCCAATGACTAACTAAAAAGTGAGTTGCCTTCTAGCCGCGATTAAAGGGAAGTGCATGACATGTTGTGACGAATACTCTACGCATACTGTTCAAACGTACCCTGCTATTTGAATTCATTAATTAATTAAGGCAGTGTTACGTGTTCTGCTTAGGTGGTTGGTGTTGTAATTTGCTTGTGATTACCATAGTTTGGGTTTTATTCAAGGCCAAGGTTTTTTCTCAAGTCGCGCTCTTTTTCTCCTCGGTAGTCTGCTTTTGCGAGTGTGCGGCCCCTTTAGGTTTTGCTTGCTTTGTTTTTAATGTACCACATCCAAATTCCTCGATTTTCAGAATAAGTTTATAATAAATAAACTCGCAGACATTAAAGCGTTTTATTTGAGTGTTCCTGCCCGACTGGGTCCCGAGTCATTGTATTAGCTTCGTGTAACGTAAGGGAACCCTACCTTAGACGATCCGATCACGCGCCATTCTTTTGTTCGAAATTTGAGCGGGAACCGTGTTTTGATACTGGGATTGCAACGTTGCCACACCGTGAAATCTGTCATCTTCACTTCGAGCCTGGGGTGGGTTAAGATCAGTACAATATTAACGTTTATTTTTTTTTTGTATTGTTGATAGAATAAGAATCATTATTTAATTTAATATTGTATAACAAGTTTTTCTTAATGTGTAATGCACACTTTAAACTTGTTATTGTTATAGGTAATTTATTATTAACATATCTATGCTGTTCTTTTTTGGGATTTCCCTGTGAATAAATATTATTATTATTATTATTATCACATTGAGGGAGTGTGTTAGAAGGTTGGCAATATGATGAAGTTAGTTAGGTTAAGAATAAAAAAATGGTTGTAATGTAGCATGTTCTATCATCGTGTGTGAAATGTATTTTTTTAATCCAATATTTATTTTCATTAGATATCATTGAATTATTGGGTTTGGAGCGGTACACTGCTCCAATTCCAAATGTCTTACCACAATGTTTGATTTTGATCCAGAACTGCTCAGTGGTACAATGTACAGTAGCAACCACACTGAAACACAACATAGGTACCTTCTCCAGAATGGAAGAACTGATACTTTTCACTTACGCCAATTGTTCCAAACAAAAACAATTTTTTAAACAAATACTGTAATTTTACATGCAAAACATACCGCAACATCCCATGTTTAATGCAGCGAATAAATATTCATTCGATTATTAACAAAATGCGAGCATTTGTACCTTTACTAGTTGAAACTCGGAGTGCGAGTGTTCTCCTTTGATAACGATTGATGATCCACAATCGACAAATTTAAAATAGTCAAGTAGGTACTCGAGTAGGTAGAAGGCTTGTGTTTAAACAGATGCCTTTTCAATAGTAGCTTTCTGTTTGTAACATAGTCACAGTGAGCACATTTAAAACCACTAGTTATCCTATGGCTTAATACATGTGTTTTCAAATTAGATTTATAATTGGTTGCATAATCACATTCGGCACATTTGAAAATCTTAGAAGACTGGTGTCTTAGCAGATGTGTTTTAAAATTGTGTCTAGCATTTGTTGCGTAACTACACTGGGCACATTTGAAATCCTTAGAAGGTTTATGCGAAAGTAGATGATTTTTTAAATAATGCTTACTAGTCGCCTTATAATCACACTGAACACATCTAAAATCCGCAGTGGTCTTGTGAGTTAATAGATGCCTTCTAAAACGAGAATTAATATTGGTTGCATAACCACACTGGACACATTGAAAATCCTTGGAAGGTTTATGTGTCAGCAGATGTTTTTTTAAATTGTACTTATTAATAGTAGCGTAATCACACTGAACACACCTAAAATCCTTAGTTGATTTGTGAGTTAATAGATGGCATTTAAAATTAGATTTATAATTGGTTGCATAATCGCACTGGACACATTTCATATCCTTGGAAAGTTTATGTGAAAGCTGATGGTTTTTTAAATATGACTTATTAGTGGTTGCGTAATCACAACGAGCACATTTAATATCCTTGGTTGTCTTGTGGGTTAACAGGTGTACTTTAAGATAGGATTTATCATTGGTTGCGTGATTACACTGGGCACATTTAAATACCTTCAATATCTTCTTGTGGGTCAATAGATGTCGTTTAAAATGGTATTTATTATTGGTTGCGTATTCACACTGATCACATTTGAAATCTTTAACAGCGTTATGGGTTCGTAAATGTGCTCTTAAACTATATTTATTTTTGGTTGTGTAATTACACTGAGTACAATTTAAATCTTGCGAAGCTTGCGATCGGGGGATATCTTTATCATGTACAATCAAAGGTTCAGTTTCCTGCTCGACATCATTTTCTTCTATGCAAGTGCTTGTGACATTAGGATAATCCCTACTGATGGTATTCTCACCAAGTTCTCGCTTTATCATTCTGGAGACATCACCATTAAGTAAAACTTTCTCATCAATGGAGGTATTTATGTTGTCTTCTTGTTTAATTTCCACTTTCACAATTGACGACATCATCACAAAAATACACGGCACCTTGAGTACGAAATTTGAGTACGCATACGCTACATTAGAAGTCACTAGATCTAGTGACTTTAATTAATACGAACGTTTGTTTTGTTTGTTTCAGGGTCGCCAACTTGGACGATTTATTAAAAAATGGGTGATACAAAATCCAAAAAAGGTCCTATTTTTTAACATTTGCGATAAAATTGAGCGATTTTGAAAACGCTTACAGGAACTTCTTAAATTTAAGTCCGCTGTTGTGCTACCTTTAGCTATTTGTGAATATGGGATTTTTTAATATAAAATAAATTCAATTTTATTTTGTCGCTTTATTGTGAAATTTATTTGGAAAACCTTGCGATTTTAAGAAATCCCAACTTTTGCGATTTTGGACGATTTCCAGAGACTATTTTGGCGATACGTGTGAACTAAAAGTTGGCAACCCTGGTTTGTTTTAATCCATCAGACACTTTGACACAAGTTGAGAGGACAAGGTAAACATTAGTAGGTAACTGCAATAATTCCACGGACAGTACGCCCTTTCCCCGTATCAAAGAGTGCTGATTAAACACAATGGAGTCAGTTATATATAAAATGAGCTAAAAATGCAGAAATTACGTTTTGTAGAAATACGCAGAAATCGTCTCATACGTCAGATCGCCACAGCGTTGCCGTCGTGACATGTAATTTAACACAACACAACGGGGACAACGACCGCGCATGACCTTAAAATTTTATGAGTGGCAATGACTACGGATGTCCTTGAAAATGTAATTTGATAACACAAAGTGAGGTCAATGTCCTCAATGTATGGGGCTCGGATGACCTTGAATAGTAATGGGGTCAATGACTTCTGATGAACTTGAAGAGTAATGAGGTCAAAGATCTCGGCTGACCTAAACGGAGTGGGTGACCTTGAAATTAAGGTGGTCAATGACCTCGGATGACACTGAAAATAAGGTCACCGCTCACGTGGCACGCGATTTTCACCTTGACCTAATTTCCAAGGCCGCCACCTGAGGGGGAAGCGACCTTGAACTGAGGTTCGGTATAGTTGTATCACGAATTAACATATTCCTAATGTACATTTATAACCGATACTACCCCGTTGATAGTCTGTAAACCACTTAGCTGGTTCCATCCCATGATGAAGGAGTAATACTGTAGTCGAAAGGATTGTGACATCTCTTTAAAAGATATCAGCGATAACAGCAAATAAATATAACAAAAAATTAAACTATGCACATTTAATTCCTTAGAATGTAATTGGTTACGCCTTGTGATGACACAATATTTTTTTTTCTGTGTAACTACACTCACCACATTTAAAATAGTTAGCTTTTGTGTTTAAACTGATGTCTTTTCAGTAGTAATTTACTGTTTGTTGCATAATTACACTGAACACACTTGAACTCCTTGTTATGTGAAAGTAGATGTGTTTTTAAGCAGGGCTTATTAGTGGTTGCGTAATTACAATGATCACATTTAATATCCTTCGATGTCTTGTGGGTCAATAGATGCCGTTTAAGATGGGATTTATCATTGGTTGCGTAATCACACTGGGTACATTTCAAATCCTTAGAAGGTTTATGCGAGAGCAGATGCGTTTTAAAATGAGATATATAATTTGTTGCATAATCACACTGGACACATTTAAAATCCTTGAAAAGTTTATGTGAAAGCTGATGTTTGTTTAAATTCGATTTATTAGTGGTTGCGTAATCACAATGATCACATTTAATATCCTTTAATGTCTTGTGGGTTAATAGATGCCGTTTAAGATGGGATTTATCATTGGTTGCGTAATCACACTGGGCACATTTCAAATCCTTGGAAGGTTTATGTGAAAGCAGATGTATTTTAAAATGAGATATATAATTGGTTGCATAATCACACTGGACACATTTAATATCCTTGGAGAGTTTATGTGAAAGCAGATGGTTGTTTAAATTCGATTTATTAGTGGTTGCGTAATCACAATGATCACATTTAATATCCTTGGTTGTCTTGTGGGTTAATCGATGGCGTTTAAGAGTCGATTTAACATTGGTTGCATAATCACACTGGGCACATTTGAAATCCTTGAAAAGTTTATGTGAAAGCAGATGGTTTTTTAAATAGGACTTATTAGTGGTTGCGTAATCACAATGTTCACATTTGAAATCCTTAGTTGTCTTGTGGATTAATCGATGGCGTTTAAAGTGGAATTTACCATTGGTTGCATAATCACATTGGGCACATTTGAAATCCTTGAAAAGTTTATGTGAAAGCAGATGCATTTTTAAATTGGACTTATTGGTAGTTGCGTAATCACACTGACTACACTTTATATCTTTAACAACCTTATGGGTTAGCAGATGTGCTTTTAAATTACGTTTATATTTTGTTGTGTGATTACAATCAGTACAATTAAACTCTTTCGAAATTTGCAATCGATTAGCATATGGGAAATCTGAATCAATTTCTTCTTTACAATAGCGTGTGACATTAGGATAATCTCCACCGATTGTGATCTCATTAGGTTCTTGCTTTATCAATCCGTACACATCATCAGGTGAAACACTCTCATCAATGAAGGTATTAATGTTGTCTTCTTCTTTAATTTCCACTTTTACAATTGCCGACATTGTCACACAAGAACACAACACTAAAACGTGGCCCGTTTTGCAATTGTAACCACAAATGATATCACTTGAGCTTCTTCGGCAAACGTAATAATGCCACCCTATGGCAGTACGTTTGATCTCATGATAGAAAGGAAGCCTACAATTATTGTATCAGACGTTTGTCTGAATGCATTCCACACACTGCGCATGCGAGATAAACGTCAAAGTTGCAAATTGTTTGGAAGTGTTAAGTAGTACGTCGGTTAATTGCAATGAGGTTCATTGGTAAAAATATATATTATTATTATTAAAAATGCAATCATGAATAATGAGATATCTGTATCCCTTCAAATACCTTGTATACTTCAACGTCGGATGTAACCAATCAAATAGTTGGAGTTCCTGGGACATGAGACACCGCCATCACCACCGGTTGAAAATTTTTATAATTTCTGTGGGATGTTTTCGATTTTGGCTTGGCGTCACTTCTTGGTTGTTAAAGCTCGTTGGTGGCGGAAGTATTGCATTCTGAGTTGTATTCATATTGTTGCATAGATCCGTGATGTCAATTTTGGCAAAATATCATAGAATAAAGCAATTTGGAACACCCTGTTCTGTACCTACCAAACTGTTAATTTGGTGGCGAATGGGACATGAGAGCACAATTTTGGAGGGCCGCCCCGGGCACCAGCCGTAGCTACGGCTGTCAAACTGATAAACTAGATTTCGCTGGCTTGAATAAACCATTGAATTGTCTTCTGCACTGATTCCTTATATTTAAGGGGAGTGTTAAAATCTAAATTTAATAAGAATCACATTTATGTAATACACGTAGTAGGCTTTCAATGTTCAGATAGAAATATAATAGACGTCAATGTTAAGAACGTTTTTATGTTAAAATTGCCTACACACTCTTTTGTCGACAGTTGGCATGTACATAAAAGACTCCTTTAATAAATCGAAGATAACATTATATTATTGGTTGGGGGCGGTAAACTACTCCATTTCCAAATGTCTTACCACAATGCTCGATCTTGATGCATAACTGCTCAATGGTACAACGTACAGTACCAACCACACTGAAACTTAAAATTTACTTTAAAAACTATTTTTTAAACAAATACTGCAATTTTACATGCAAATTATACAAGGTCACTAATAAGTCTGGAAACGATCGAGGTATCAAAAAAAGCTTCTTTAAAGGTTCTTTAATGTCTACAAGGGAGTAGTAATTTTAATTATACAGGGTTGGTCATAACGGCGTGGCACACTAATATTGCATTTTTTTAAATAGAACACCCAGTATATTATTCGATATATTAATTTTTCTCTCAATTTTGAGCATAACTTGTAAGAAGCAGAATGTACCCAAATGCAACCGTTTCAGAGTTATCGAATTTGGAAAATAAAACGTATTGTTTTAAAATGTATTGAATAAAGAACAATAATTAATGAGTTACGAGTTGATTTTGAAAAACTTTTCTATGGTTCTGAAAAGAACCGTTTGTGGAGCTTGTTATGATTATTTGGAATCATTAATTATTGTTTTTTGTCCAATTATTAATAATTTTAAAATAATAGCATTATTCAAAACTCGATGATCCGGAAACGATTGAATTTAGGTACATGCTTATTACAAAATAATTGCTTAAAATTGAGAGAATTGGAACATTAGAAAATATACAGGGTGTTCCATTTGAAAAAATGCAATTTTGGTGTGCCGGGCCTTTATGAGCAACCCTGTGTAATTAAAATTATTACCGCCTAATGTATCATCAATCAAAACATATCGCAGCATCCCATCTACATAACACCCTGTTTAAAATCCGTAGTTGTCCTATGGGTTAATAGATGAGATTTAAAATCAAATTAAAGTTTGTTGCATAATCACATTGATTTATCATGTCTCGACAGATGGTATTTAAAACTGTATTTATTATTTGTTGCGTAATTACATTGGGAACATTTGAACTCTTTCACAGAGTTATGCGTTACCGAATGTGTTCTCAAACTGCATTTGTTATTATTTGTGTAATTACACTCGCCACATTTTAAAAATTTAGTTGTCCTGCGAGTTAATAGATGTGTTTTCAAACTAGATTTATAATTGGTTGCATAATCACATTCAGCACATTTGAAAATCTTACAAGTTTGGTGTCTTAGCAGATGTATTTTAAAATTGTATCTAGTATTTGTTGCGTAGCTACACTGGGAGCATTTGAAATCCTGGGAAGGTTTATGCGAAAGCAGATGATTTTTTAAATAACGGTTACTAGTGGTCTTATAATCACACTGAGTACATGTAAAATCTGCAGTTGTCTTGTGGGTTAATAGATGTTTTTTAAAATTAGAACTAATGTTAGTTGCATAATCGCACTGGACACATTTGATATCCTTGCATGCTTTATGTGTAAGCAGGTGCTTTTTTAAGTAATACTTATTAGTGCTCGCATAATCACACTGAACGCATCTAAAATCTGTAGTTGTGTTGTGAGTTAATAGATGTTTTTTAAAGTTACAATTAATATTCGTTGTATATTCACACTGGCCACATTTGAAATCCTTACAAGGTTTATGTGAAAGCAGATGATTTTTTAAATTATACTTATTAGTGGTTGCGTAATAGCATTGATCACATTTGATATCCTTGGTTCTCTTATGAGTTAATAAATGTAGTTTAAGATAGGACCTATCATTGGTTGCGTAATCGCACCGGCCACATTTAAAATCCTTGCACGGTTTATGCGAAAGCAGATGTTTTTTTAAATTACACTTATTAGTGGTCGCGTAATCACACTGAACACATCTAAAATCTGTAGTTGTGTTGTGAGTTAATAGATGAGATTTCAAATTAGATTTATATTTTGTTGCATAATCACACTGGACACATTTGAAATCCTTTGACGATTTATGTAAACGCAGATGCTTTTGTAAATTATACTTGTTAGCGGTTACGTAATCACAATGGTCACATTTGATGTCCTTGGTTCTCTTATGAATTAATAAATGTACTTTAAGATAGGATTTACTATTGGTTGCGTAATCGCACTGGTCACATTTAAATTCCTTGAACATCTTGTGGGTTAAGAGATGTCGCTTAAGAAGAAATTTTTTATTTGTCGCGTAATCACACACACCACATTTCAAATCTTTAACAGTATTATGGCTTTGCAGATGTACTGTTAAATTGTTTTTAATTTTGGTTGTGTAATTACACCAAGTACAATTGAAATCTTTAGAATGTACAATCAAAGATTCCTTTTCCTGCTTGACGCCACTTTCGTCTAGACAAGTGCGTGTAATCTCATTAAGTTCTTTCTTTATCTTTCCGGAGACATCATTAAGTAAAAGTTTCTCATCAATGCAGGTACCATTTATGTTGTCTTCTTGTTTCACTTCCACTTTCACAATTGCCGACATTATCACACAAGTACACAATACTAAAACGGCGGTCGTTTTGCAATTGTAGAAGGTCTCATGAAGGAAAGAACGTCGCCATATTTGTTATCAGACTGGACAGGGTTCCACGAGAAAAGCAGGACTGTACTTCATGTTTTTGTTATTGGGAAATGGGAGCCATCTTATCATTGTTGATACTGAGAGGCTCCACGCTATATACTGTAACGTAAATTTAATTATGTCTTTTATTACAACTAATTAACAATAAATTTGTAACACTAATTATTATTATCACTTACAATTTATAACCTCTCAAGAGCAACGAAGCTGGAACTGAATTCACACGCTTTCAATTTGCTTATACAGGGTGCCCAATATGTATGGAATATAGCATATATCTCCGTAAATATCGAATGTATACAACATTTTTCTATACGAAAGTCCTAAATCAAAATAAAACAAATGAACGTATACGTTTCTTATTAAACCTTGAAGACAAAATGAAAATGGTAACAAACGTACACATTTGTTTTATTTTGATGTATGATTACTAGATTAATGTTATTGCTGTGATTATAAGTTTTTTTGAAACATTTTCTTGTATTAAGGGTACTAACATGTTACAACATCGAAAAGAGAAAAAAATCTCTCTCAAATGAGCATAAGAAAAGGTAAACTGTCATTTAAAAAAAATTTGTTTTTCGTTATTCATTCGTTTTTTGAAATAAAAACAACTGAATGCTGCCTTAATTATGGGAAATAAAATTACATAGCCTTGTAGGCAAATTCAACTATCAGCAGAAATATGTGGAACTTTGTACTGATCTTAACCCACCCCCAGGCTCGAAATGAAAATGACAGATTTCACGGAAAAGTGGCAACGTTGCAATCCCAGTATCAAAACACGGTTCCCGCCTAAAATTCAAACAAAAGAATGGCACGTGATTGGATCGTCTACGGTGGGGCCCCCTTAAGGCCGCTTGACATGGAGCAATACAACGTGCAAGAACTTGCAGAAAGAAATTGCAAGGTCAAATCCTTGCATGCAATAAGCATTGCATGGTATTTGACATGGTGCAATTTTATTTCAATTGCCACATGTCTGCCAACAGAAGAAAAATATGGACTTGTCAACAAAGTTGCTAACCTCCAATAAAAATTAAATTTTGATTGCTTGAAGAAACATGAAAATTACAAGAATAAATAAGATTAATAAAAACAAATAATGAGTGCGTCTCTCAGCATCATAGTTACCGCCGCTGTATTTTACTAGGTTGGTGATACAAAAACAACTAGATTTATCCCTAGAATTGCACGATTCATGCAAGAAAAATAGCACCGGTCCTATAAAAATTGCATGCAAGTCTCTTGCAGCAATTGATCAGCTGGCTTTGAACTGCGCATGCCTTTCGCAATTTTTCTTGCAACTTGCATGCAATTGCAATTTTTATTGCTCCATGTCAAGCGGGCTTTACGTTACACGAAGCTAATACAATGACTCGGGACCCAGTCGGGCAGGAACACTCAAATAAAACACTGTAATGTCTGCGAGTTTATTTATTATAAACTTATTCTGAAAAACCCGGAATTTGGATGTGGTACATTAAAAGCAAAGCAAGCAAAACCTAAAGGTGCCGCACTCTCGCAAAAGCAGACTACCAAGGCGAAAAAGAGCGCGACTTGAGAAAAACCTTGGCCGTGAATAAAACCCAAACTATGTTAATCACAAGCAAATTAAAACACCAAACACCTAAGCAGAACATGTAACCCTACCTTAATTAATTAATGAATTCAAGTAGCCGGGTACATTTGAACAGTATGCGTAGAGTATTCGTCACAACATGTCATGTACTTTCCTTTAATCGCGGCTAGAAGGTAACTCACCTTTTAGTTAGTCATTGGATGGTGAACCTGGTTATTTGTTAGGTTAGGGCCAGCGTCTTAGCTTGATTGTCCTCCTGTTTCACGGTTATATTGTTAGGAATTGGGCCGGCATATTTGCCTATTAACCCGTAGCGCAGTTAAGATTGTTAGGGGCAACACATTCACGCATTTATTGATATAAGTCACCTTACTAGTTATTCGTATCATTGTATATCGAATAGGGTGGTGTGAAGTTTGTAAAAACACGTCTGATCTATTATTCATGTTGTGACGTAACAATAGGCAGTTATGACCATACTCAGTGTGCTTGTGGGGCCCTCAATTATGCTCAGTTTCCACATAATGACATTGGTATAAGACCCAGACTTCCGGAACTACTACCTGTGCTTCGTAACACTCCCCGGACATCGGTCTCGTAACGACACAAAACTGAAGGTGATTAAGAGATGGGTCGCCGCCCATGGGCAGGATGGCCTTTGTTACAGCACTTCATCCCTAAAGTTGGAGTTTCGAGGGCCCTCGGATCCTTTTATGCCTTAGCTCTAGAACACCTTTCTATTCTAGCGTCCGAGCTCCCTCTCACGGTAGAAAGATATTAGTTACATACAACAAGGCACACACATTCGCGAGTGTTACGAGTCACCCTAAACTAAATACACCTAGCATTGCATGCCCTGCTTCACGGAAGTCGAGGTTTGACATAGGTTCACCCCGTGCAACGTGTAACTGAGTAAACGTGGTCTAAACCTGAGATATTGCAGCCTTCCACAAGCACATGGATATTAGTTAGCACCTCGCATGTTGTAAATTACGTATTAGCACAATGGTGGTTGGAAAATATCTGATTTAACAAATGGCACAATTCACATAAATACATAAGAGTAAACTACATAAAATACTTTACCCGACACGAAAGTGGTTGAACTCACAAACACCAAAAACAAAGCTAAACTCTATGAATACAACTCAAAATACAACAAAGCCCACCACCAACAAGCTTTAACAAACAACAAGTGATGATGTGACGCCAAGCACTCTAAAAACCCCAAACATCCTCCGGAAGCTACCAAAAAAATATCGACAGGTGGTGATGGCGGTGGCTCATGTCCCCAGAATCTCCAACTACTTGACCGGTTGCATCCGACGTTGAAATATACAGGGTATTTAAAGGGATATAGACATCTCAACTTACCGAACCGTACCTCATTTATCGCACATAGATTCTGAGTTTTGATTAGCATAATCTTGCTCCGGCAAGATAGATAACTCGCCCCTGGTTTCGGGCCTACAGTTGAAAGAGCCGAAGACAATCGCGGAATTAGGTATCCTAGCTCAAATGATTACAGTTTTTACCACCGGAGATTTATCCCAATGACGCTGGTGGTCTGACACGACTTTTGGTGAAGTACTTCCCCATTGCCCTATTCATGCGTTTTATCTTTCCGTCTGATTGTGGTTCTGGTTTCGCCAATGACCAATGGTTGACAGATTTTCGAACAGCGTCGACTCAAAATTTCGACCCTGGTCAGAGTGTAGTTCCAGTGGCACTCCAAATCTGCTAAAAGTTCTTTTACCGAACGCTACGTTTGTCGCTTCTTGATTTAATAGCTCATAAGATTCTGCCCATTTGCATCACTTTCTACAACTCTCTTAAGACCATCTTGTAACCGCAACGAGTCCCACCGAGCCCAATACGCTAGACCATATCGAGATACCTCTTCTCAGGTTGCCATTCTTTCTTCCATTTTCCAGTTTATAATCAGACGTAAATCACAGTCACTTGTTTGACCTGTCCGGAGTTCTGGGGGTGCCCGATTATCATTCACAAGTGCAATGCGTCGTGCGTGTTGTTCTTCATATCTGTGCTCCAGTTGTGAGCAGTGTCGACAATCATCAGGATATGGTCTTCTAGACATCGGCATTACGATGGTTTCGTCCTGCGCAAAGTCGTACTCTTGCAGTTTTGCCAACCATCTAGCCACTTGACCTTCTGGACTCTGAACAACCATCAATCCGACCAACACTATCCTGGTAACTTGAAACTGAACACACTTTTTATCCCTCCACCCAGGGTGGGTTTTTATCTCTTGTCAAACTTTAATATTGACCGCTGCTCCGCGATCAAAAAAGGATTGACGTCGAGTCGCCTTTGGAAGTTCAATTTAAATATGAATTCCCATGTAAACAAAAATTCCAAAGGCGACTCGACGGCAACTCTTCTTTTGATCGCATAGTACTTACATTCTAGTTTCTTAACTGTCATTATCTATACTAACAATTGCTTATTTATACAAGGAGGGCCCAGACTGTTATCTCACAATATCCTTTATTAAAAAAATCATGGAAAACATTACATATTACAACACAATGTCATATACGCCATCTCACTTTCATTTATCTAACTTGTAACATTTTGCAAACAGTGTTGTCGCTTTTTATATAAAACGTACAAAAGCGCTGTTGCCAACAAACACCTCTTACAAAGAGAAGTAATTAGGTAGAAGTTTTGTGTTTACACAGATGTCTTTTCAATACTAATTTACTGTTTGTGGCGTAATCACATTGGGAACATTTCAACACCTTCAGTTATGTTATGGGTTCCCAAATGTGCTCTCAGAGTGCATTTATTATTAGTTGTATAATTACACTGAGCACAAGAGTAATCCTTGTAAGTTTTATGTAAAAGAAGATGTGTTTTTATAGTGTATTTATTGTCGGTTGCGTAATCACACTGACCACATTTGAAAAGCTTAGTCGTCTTGTGAGTTAATAGATGCGATTTAAAACTAGATTTGTAATTGGTTGAAAAATCACATTGAGCACATTTGAAAATTTTGGAAGTCTGGTGTCTTAGCATATGTGTTTTAAAAGTGTACTTATTATTCGTTGCGTAATTACACTGGGAACATTTGAAATCCTTGGAAGGTTTATGTGACAGCAGATGTTTTCTTAAATTATACTTACTAGTGGTCGCGTAATCACAGTGAACACATTTAAAATCCGTAGTTGTCTTGTGAGTTAATAGATGTTTTTTAAAATTTGAACTACTATTGGTTGCATAATCACACTGGACACATTTAAAATCCTTGGAAGATTTATGTGAAAGCACATGTGTTTTTAAATAATACTTATTAGTGGTCGCGTAATCACACTGATTACATATAAAATCCGTAGTTGTCTTGTGACTTAACAGATGTGATTTAAAATTATATTTATAATTGGTTGCGTAATCACACTGGACACACTTGAAATCCTTGGAAGGTTTATGTGAGAGCAGATGCGTTTTTAAATTATACTTACTAGTGGTCGCGTAATTACACTGAACACATCTAAAATCCGTAGTGGTCTTGTGAGTTAATAGATGCCTTCTAAAATTAGAATTACTATTAGTTGCATAATCACAATGGGCACATTTAAAATCCTTGGAAGGTTTATGTGTAAGTAGATGTTTTTTTAAATTGTACTTATTAATAGTAGCGTAATCACACTGAACACATCTAAAATCCGTAGTTGTTTTGTGAGTTAATAAATGGGATTTAAAATTAGATTTATAATTGGTTGCATAATCACACTGGACACATTTGAAATCCTTGGAACGCTTATGTGAAAGCAAATGTGATTTTAGACACGACTTATTAGTGGTCGCGTAATCACAATGAGCACATTTAATATCCTTGATTGTCTTGTGGGTTAATAGATGTCCTTTAAGATAGGATTTATCGTTGGTTGCGTAATCACACTGGGCACATTTAAAATTCTTGAATATCTTCTTGTGGGTCAATAGATGTCGTTTAAGATGGTATTTGTTATTGGTTGCGTAATTACACTGATCACATGAGAAATCTTTAACAGCCTTATGAGTTCGTAAATGCGCCCTTAAACTGCATTTATTTTTGGTTGTGTAATTACACTGAGCACAATTTAAATCTTTCGAAGTTTGCGATCGGGTGAAATCTTCATAATGTACGATCAAAGATTCAGTTTCCTGCTTGACATCATTTTCGTCTATGCAAGTGCCTGCGACATTAGGATAATCCCTACTGATGGTATTCTCATCAAGTTCTCGCTTTATCATTCCAGAGACATCATCATTCAGTAAAATTTTCTCATCAATGGCGGTATTTATGTTGTCTTCTTGTTTAATTTCCACTTTCACAATTACCGACATATCACAAAAATACACGGCACCAAAACACCGGTCGTGTAACCACAAATGACACCACTTTAAACGCATCGGCATCGACCCAATCGATAATGACGCCCTCTGGCGGTACGTTTGATTTGTGATATTCCTGATTGTCTTCGACTTTCAACTGTAGGCTCGAAACCCCGAACGAGGGGCGACGCTACCTATGTTACAGGGGAGAGATTTTGCTAATCCAAACTCTTCAGTTTAGAATCTATGTGTGACAAATGAGTTACCATTCGTAATTTCCACATATTTCGTCTTTAGTTAAATTTGCCTACAAGGCCATGTAATTTTCCATCTTGCTTTTAACAAAAGGACTTTATTGCACCAAAGATGAGTCACATCCGGTGTACTTCACTCTTTCTTAGAATCTTGGTACCTGCTTACCTGACTCATAATTCCCAAAACTTGTTTTTAATCTGTATAGTGCCTATATGTTACCTCTTGAAGTCTACCTGCTACTTTTTGTGATGTTATAATTGTATGTTACGCATTCACATAATTACGAACAATTAATTTTATAACACAATTTGATATTAATTTGACGGCTGGTTTTTTTATGGTAAGTTCTTTTTTTCCCAGCCTATTTCTTTTTTTATTCGGTGAACTACCATTTTCAAAGTTTATTTTTGCAATGTAATTTATTTCGACTTAAATTTCTGAGCTTTTACAATCATAATAATTACGATCATTATTAAATAAACTTTTCACAATTTCAGTGTTTTATTTTACGTTCCTTCCCTACTGTGCTTCAGGTCACACCGTTGTTTACAACTAACGAAAGGGAGCCCTGCCTTAGATGTTTGATCATGTGACACTTTTCAAATTTAAGCGGGATCTTGTTTAGTTTTGGAGGAAATAGCATTGAGTTAGAAAACTAAGGGAATAGTCATTCGAGTGAACATTTTTAAACGTTGCCGGGTTGACTTTATTTTCGTGTTCTTATAGTGTGAAGTTAGTGTAGAACCTGGGGGTTAAGTACACTACAAGTTTCACAATACAAATAGACACAATATACTTAAACACAAAGCAAAACTCAATGAATATACGTCGAAAAGCGATACTTCCGCTACATACAAGCTTTAGTGAACAAGTGACGCTAAACACCAAACAGAAGTCCATTCCCGTTAACTAACAGGTAGCAACGACGGTGGCTCATGTCCCCAGAATCTCCAACTACTTGCATCAGACGATATATACAGGGTATTTGAAAGGATATAGACATCTCAATGTTTTCTCTGATTTACTGTTTTGGTTGCGATTTGTTTCATAAAGATAATTTGGGCACCATTTGCGTCTGCAATATTCTAGAATGCTTGTTTATTTATTATTATTACCTAACAGACAAGACACATTCACAAATCTTTTGCGGTAGCGATTTTTCAAACTAAATCTGCAATTGGTGGCCAAAACACTCAGGGTCATTAGTCCTGCGATAATAATAATTGACTTTGTAATTGGCTACATAATCACACTTAGCCTCGCACTCAGCATATTATTTTGAAATCCTTCAAAGCTTTTTATGTTAAGAGAGACACAATACTTCATATTTGTTGCGTGACCACAATCACAAAATTTAAAATAGTTAGCCAGAAGTTTTGTGTTTAAGCAGATGTCTTTTTAACACTAATTTACTGTTTGTGGCGTAATTACAGTGAGCACATTTAAAAACCTCGGAAACTGCCGTATGTGCCAACCGGTGCGCTTTAAAACTGAACTTATATTTGGTTGCAAACTCACACTGTGCACATTTGAATTTCTTGGAAGTCTCATGCCGTAACAGATGCGATTTCAAATGGTATTTGTTACTTGTTGCATAATCGCACTGGGCACATTTGAATCGCTTGGATTTAACATGTCTCGACAGATGAAATTTAAAACTGCATTTATTATTTGTTGTGTAATTACACTGGGAACATTTGAAATCCTTGACTGGGTTATGGGTTCCCATATGCTTCCTCAAGCTAGATTTGTTATTGGTTGCGTGATCACAATGATCGCATTTGAACAACTTAGTGGTCATGTGGGTTAATAGGTGTGTTTTAAAATTGGAATTACTGTTGGTTGCATATTCACAATTGATACATTTGAAATCCTTGGAAAGTTTATGTGAAAGCAGGTGTTTTTTTAGATTATACTTAATATTGGTCGCGTAATCACACCGAACGCATTTCAAATCCGTAGTTGTCTTGTGAGTTAAAAGATGAGATTTAAAATTAGATTTATAATTGGTTGCATAATCACACTGGACACATTTCATATCCTTGGAAGGTTTGTGTGAAAGCAGATGTGATTTTAAACAGGACTTACTAGTGGTTGTGTAAGCACAATGGGCACATTTGATATCCTTGGTGGTCTTATGGGTTAATAGCTGGACACATTTAAAAGTCTTGGAAGTATTATGTTTTAACAGATGCGATTTAAAATGGTATTTAAGATTTGTTGCGTAATCACAATGGGCACATTTAAAATACTTCGATATTTTGTGGGTTAATAGGTGTCTTTTAAGATAGGATTTATTATAAGTTGCGTAATCACACTGGGCACATTTAAAACTGTTGAAAGTATTATGTTTTAATAGATGTGATTTAAAAAGGTGTTTATTATTCGTTGCGTAATCGCACTGCGTACATTTCAAATCCTTGGATATCTTGTGGGTTAATAGATGTAGTTTGAGATAGGGTTTATCATTGGTTGCGTAATCACACTGGACACACTTAAAATCCTTGGACCTCTTGTGGATTAATAGATGTCGATTAAGATGGGATTTCTTATTTGTTGCATAATCACACTGACTACATTTAAAATCTTTACTCGTCTTATGGGTTTGCAAATGTGTTCTTAAATTGTATTTATTGTTGGTTGTGTA